AGACGCGCGACGATCGGTTCGATTACAGATCAATCAATTCCTTTTTTTTTTTTTTCTCTCTTTTTTTTCTAAATATTTGTCATGATCATTCATTCTTTGATCCGTCATTTTTTTTTTTTTCTAACTCTTTCTAATTATTTTTCGAAGAGAAATTTGAAAATGACACGAGGCGAGATCCAATGCTAAGTCTTCGGACCTTCACACTAAGTGCGACACGCCCTCCGAGTTTGATGAATCTTTTATCTTCTCTTACCTCTCGCGTACCTTATTGTTAAGGAACTGATTTTAATTTTTTTTTCTTTTTTTGTTTCTTATATTTTTGCTGTTTTCATAAATATGATATATTTAGTTTTAGAGAACTGTAATATCGTACGATATGGACAATTGAAAATAATGATGTTAGTATCCCGTGTATCTGCCAGATGGCGACTCGGAGGACGCGACCGCTTGTGCACCGTCGCAAGACAGCCTTTTTTATATGTATATGTATACATATATATATATAATATAATTACGATGAATTATTAATTGATTAATGTTTGAAGCAAAAAAAAGGCTCTTCTTATTAGATTTAGATAATTCCGATGTAATTTTTTCTTGTAGTTGTATAGTCGACCACTTTTGAATTGAGAGAAAGGAAGAGAGAGCGAGATAGTATGAATGTGCGAGCAGACGATTTTTAGCAATGAAATGAAAGAAAATGATTAAAAAAAAAAAAATTTAGAAAGGCGTGTACGAGATTAATTATATATAATTATGATTTCTTTTTTTTTTTTTTTCGATTATATCTTTATCTTTACACAAGGAATGAACGTAAAATATGCAGAAAGAAAGAGAGTATGTGCCTGTGTGGACGTGAATGACGATTGGAATGAAAGAAGATAAAATGATTAAGCGAAACGAAATAGAATGTTCAGATATACATCGTGTCCCGTAATCATGTAACCGTGCTTTAAAATCAACGCCGGACATTTTCTCCGGAAATAAAATATGGTCTATCGCGACCGAATGAAAAAGAATGGTAAAAGAAAAAAGGAAGAAAGAAGAAAATAATCACAGAGAGCTTATCTGTACCTCTGCTTATATGAGGTAGCGCACTTCATCGAATATTATCGGTGAGCATTAAACATTGTATTCGCTAGATGAGAGAGAAAGAAAAAAAATAGAACACATACAAAGTAATCAATCGATTTACGATAGTGGTCGTTTTATTGTAACAATAATGATGGTAATTATATACAAATAAAGCAGAACGTAATCATATTTCACGAGATCACGCTCGATTTATATATGTATAGATATAAATACGTATATATTATATATATATATATACATACATATATATATATATATGTATATATATATTAATATGGACATAGAGAAGAAAGTAACGATTCCCCATGCGAGTTCAGAATTAATTAGCATTAACTAACATTTTAGATACGTATACGTATACGTATACATTTACTTATTTACACTTACACACTATATATACACGTATACAGGTACATACAAGGATGAAAATAAAATATAAAAGATCGTGTTTTATCGAAGAAATATCGAGTTATTCGCTGTAAGAATCGATCGTCTTTTCTTCTCGATCAGAACTTCAGGAGATAGAATTAAAAAACTGAGAAGTGACAAACGAAGAATGAATGTTATGTGTTCGAGATGGGAATATAAATCGATTTAATCGATGTAATGGCTGAAAGCGGAGAATCAAGGAAGAAAAAGAAGAAAAGACACGGCGAACGTACATCGATTTTTAATGACGATCGACTGCATAGGAGCTCCCAGATCAATGTTGTGTGCTCAATTTCTAGTTTGTAGCGAGAGAAAGAGGAAGAGAGAGAGAGAAGATATACCATGCATAGATCGAACAAGTGTAGATTTATGATTGTCGAGTGATAGATCGCTCATATATCAATTTTTATCGCGATTTTTGTGATCACGTATCATCATCTAAATCTATGATTTATTTTTTACGATTTTTTTTTTCCTTTTTTCTTTTTTTGGAATTTTAAAAATTTTTATAAAATAACAAGTAAAATTTTTTTGCTTGTTTAAACAAATTTAAAAAAAAAATTAATAATAGTAAATTCTTTTTAAATTTTTTTAATTGATTTTTTTTCATTTCGATATATTCGTTTATTTAATTAAAATTTTGAAAATTAATTAATAATTAATTTATGTATAATATCAGATGACTCGTGAACACAATTGCGTAATTTGTAGAATAAATAGTACTTCATATTGCGTTTTACATTTTATATACCCATATGTAGCTCGCCTCATATATTTGGTTCTCTCTTGGAGACAATAATGATTTTCTCACGTTGGCGGCGATTTTCGTAAAAAATCTATCAAACAAAGATTCCATAAGCGAAAAAAAAAGAGAAAGAGAGAGAGAGAGAGAGCGTGTGAGAAGAAGAATGAAAGGGATACAATGAACGAGAGAAAACGTTGAGATTAAAGCGATCTTTTTCTTTTTCTTTCTCATCGTCAAGGCGAGAAGGGAGGTTGATGAGATAAATATCAAGATATAAAGTGTATACACACACAGAATTTTGTAGGTAATGTTAGTAACTTCAACTGTATATTGGTCTCTTATAAACGATGTCGCAGAGCTTGTGTGCTTAACAAGACATTAGCTACTATCCTGTATCTCACCTTGTTAAATAAAGCTAGGCGTGTTTAATACAAAAAAAAAAAAAAAAAAAAAAAAAAAAAAAAAAAAAAAAAAAAAAAAAAACAAAAAAAAAAAAAAAAAAAAACAAAAAAAAAAAAAAAAAAAAACAAAAAAAAAAAAAAAAAAAAACAAAAAAAAAAAAAAAAAAAAACAAAAAAAAAAAAAAAAAAAAACAAAAAAAAAAAAAAAAAAAAACAAAAAAAAAAAAAAAAAAAAAAAAAAAACAAAAAAAAACAAAAAAAAAATACCATTGTCAAAAATAAGTATACTTTGATGAAAATTGATCATATATGAAAAACAGTATCAGGTTATTTTAGTTTTCCTTTGAACGAGGTCTCGCAATGCACTATAACTTTAGATTAAACTTCGTTTTATTGCATCATTTTATTCTGAATTTATTTTGTTTTTTTCTAATAATATTCGATGGATAGAAATAAAATAAAACGAAAGGAATCAATTTTGAGTCTTAAAATATATTGATTAGGATAATAAAAGATTACGTAATAACTTAATCTAATTAGTATATTTCATTATTATTCATTGAATATTCTATAGATAATACAAAAAAAAAAAAGAAAATTGAAAAAAAAATGATGTTTCAAAACAAAGTTTAATTTGTTATAATGATAATTATTAAAACCTATATTATTGAAATAACAATAATTATATTATTAAAAAGATTAAAATTGTTTTAATGATTATTATTTCTGAAAGACAGAACGTAAACCAGATATAGTTTTAACTAGAAATACGCATTCTGTTGAGTTCTGCTGTTATTTATACATCGATCCAACTTTCTTGAAAGTAATTAATTCTGTAGTACTTTGCGCGACCACGTTTTTGATGTGCTGCATTTTTATTGTTGCTACCTCCTTTTAGAATTTCGTGAAACGAATGCCTTAAATCCGCGCTAAATCAAATGATATGAAAAGAGACTCTTTGTATTAATGAAGAAAAATTTCTTTTTAAGAGGAAATTAATAAAATAGAAATTAATTTGAGAAATAGATATCTGCTTTCATGAAAATTTTGTAATTTTTTGTAATTTTGTTTTGATTAAATTGTTTGTCATAATATTATTGTAATTTATTCAAATTTTTTATTGTACTTGTATTTTGAAATGTAAAATAATATTTTGAATGATTAGTGTTGCAGTTTTTGAAAGAATCTGAATCTAATTTTTAATTTTTTGATACTTGAATATTTATAATTCTTATTGCAAAAATTGTAATTATTTAATTTTGGATATTTTATATTATTAACGAAGAATAAGAGAATGTTATGTTCCTTGCAAAATTTAAAAAAGATATATGAATTTATTAGCAACAAAACAATAATAATACTAATATATTTTATAAGAGATTGAATTAATTGTAATAAAAAAAATGATAAGGATACAAATTATATATTTTGGATGATAAAATGTAAAATAATTGAATTTAAAAATCAATAATGAAGAATTAAAATATTTAAAAAATTGATCATTAACAATAATTTTCTATTTCATTAAAATAAAATAAAGAAATAAAAATATTTTTTAATAAATAATTAATTTACAATTTCATTAAAAGTATTAATTATTTACAAAATATTTATATTAAATTATATATGTAAAAATATAGGTCGCATAATATAATTATTAAATTAGTCTCTTTTCATCAGTCAATTCTATTTTTAAAAAAACTGCAACATTTCTTCATCATCAAAATCAACTTCAAAAATTTAAATGAAATTTTTCAATCATTATCAATAACAGAGTCTCAAATTCCCTTTCTCGTTTATTAATTTAACTGGGATCAATTATGGAGTGTAGCATTGCAATATAATATAACTTATACAAATTATCATAATAAGCGATGAATCTTTTTTTCTTTATTTATATTTTTTTTATTGCATAATCGGAAAATAAAAGAAAAACGAGTCAATAAAAAAAGATAAAAAAAGACATATCTATCGCTATTTTGTGTTTATGCAAATTTTATTCTTATCTTAAATTGCAATTGATATTGATTGCAATTATTTCTGCGTGTAGTATACATACAGATGAAAATTTTCTATGTATAGCAAACACGATAAAAAAAGTGTACATATATACACATACATAATATTATGTATACATACGTGCATATATGTTTTACAAAAAAAAGTACGTACCAAGAGTGGAGAGATTCGTTCAGAAAGAGATGTAGAAAAAGAAAGGAGAGAGAGAGAGAAGATGTATACATCCAAACAACTTGACCCAGGCTCCTGCCCGTCTTTGGTAAGCACCATCCGCTCCTTTGTAGTCCTGTTAATCGACACACACTCTTCTTCCCAATTTTTACAAACTGTATTTTCGGCAACTAGCGATCATATTACTATTACACAATTTCTTTCTTTCTTAATTATTTCTTTTTCTTCATTTTCGTTAATTTTTTTGTTTTTTAATATTCTGGTTGTTTAATTCTTAAAAGCTATCATTAAAATAAATTATATAAAAAATAAAAATAAGATTTTTATGGAGTGAAATTTCATATCCATAATAATCTTTAAGAGTTAATATTCCTATTTTTATTTTTATTATTTTGTTATTTTTATAATTTTTTATATTTTTTTTTCTTTTATTCTTTTCTTTTTTTTTAATTTAATTTTTTGATCGTAAACCATACAATGATCGCGACCAATTAAGTTGCCAGTTAAAACCGATATTATCGATCAGATCATTTAAACTTTTTCAGGAATCATTCCACGTGAATGATTGCTGTCGATTCGATGCACTCTTTCGTTGCACAATTTCGTTCGAACATTTTTTTAAGAACTGCTCATTGAGTTCGAAATCGCATCAGTAATATTGTTATAGAATGATTTTTTTTATTTTTTATATTTTTTTTAAAAGTCAAATAGTTCCCCAAAAAATGTTCGATCAAATTATGCAGATCAAGAGGGTAACTTATACCTCGATATTCGAGGATGTTTTTCTGTAGATCCATCGCATGTTACCTGGAGAACGATGGGATCGGCTAAGTGCATTCGTTTCTCATTTTGGAAAAATAAAATTTTTTTCATTGATAAAAAATCTAAGTCCTTTGAATTTTTGATTTTGATATTTTAAATTTTTGGAAATTTTTATGGGAATTATTAATTAAAGAAAATTAAAACTTTTTAAATATTTTTTTTTTTAGTTTAAATTTAAATGAAAATTTTTTATTATTCAAATATCAATATACGAATATTTAAATATTTACAATTATTAAAAAATGTTATTGGACAATTCTGAAATTTGTTGCTTAAAACTCATAAAAATTCTCAAATTTATTATAATAAAATATATTTTTTTATTACGAAATATATTAAATTTCTTATATGATTTTATTTTCTATATATATAAAATCAAAATTAATGGAAAATTTCAGTTTGAAAAAATGTAACATTTTTCATTATTTCTATACTTCTTTATATAGAAAACTAAAAACTATAATAATAATATAAATTAATTGTTTTTGTATATATAAAAATAATAATAAGAGATTTTTTTAAATAAAATGAAACACACAAAAAAAATATATAAATAGTTTCAAGAAAATGCAACAAAAATTCTTTTTTTTTCTATTTTACAAAATTTTTCTTATTAAATATTTATTATTATTCCTTATTATTTATCAAAATATACTGTTCTTTACTATTCCGTATTTTTTTCATAAATTATATGTTTATATTTATAAATATAATTGTATGAAATATCAATTTCAAATAAAATTTCCAATAAAGCAACAAAAAAATTCACTAGAAAATTTTTCAAAATATATTTAAAAAATTTTTAAATTAATCAATTAAATTAATAATGACAAAAAAACAAAATGAGCAGACGATAATACTTAACCGTTCTCATGCCCGGCTCGAAAGCTCGAGCAGAACCGGCGCACCGCGGCGAACCCACAGTTCATATCCGGTCTGACAGACACGGCCAATTCTGTTTCAGGATATCACAAGAAACGACGGGACTCTCGATACCCGCGTACCACTTCATCCCACCGGACCACATCGTTAAATCGCCGATCCACTAAAAGTGGTGAGACACATACGTATGTCGTTGTCGTCGTCGAAAGGACGCGGGGCGTCACGACGCACGCGAAGCTGTCAATGGCATCTGGGGCTGGGCCACGCACTGTGTTCAACCAGCTTGCTAATCGACACACATACATACATACATATATACATACATACATACATACATACATACACTCACACAGATCACATATATACTCAAGTTTAATATACACAATATATAACCACATATACATGATAATTATACACTTGATCAAGAAGAAACAATAATATACTTACACGCATACACAACATACATGATAAAGAACAAAAAGTGAACAACAAAAATAGAACACATCAACGATGGAAAAGGAAAACTACACACGTCATGCATACACATAATATACAAATATACACGTACATCTGCAAATATACAAGTATATACATATACATGTTATAAAAATGGTTAAATCAGAGGGAAGTACGCGTGGATACACATTACGAGTTTAAATACATATTGTACGCATATACACGTATA